ACTCCACCCCCCCGCCCTGTTCTCATCTCTGATTTGATTAGGATATGAAAAATACTTGTGTGAAAACATAAGTAAATGCTAGTCGATTCTCTTGTTGTGAGTAATTGAAACAATACAAGTTGACTAGAGAATCGTCTCTAAGACCGACTGAATTTTTTACTAGACGGGGCAATCTAGAAACCGTTTCGCTTTATCTATTTTCATGTGAATTAAAGTCTAATGATTATGTTTTTTGTTCTTATAATAGATAGAACTACCATCATTATTGCTCATCGCCTTTCTACTGTACGTCATGCGGACAAAATCATTGTGATCGATAAGGGTATGGTTATCGAAGAAGGTAATCATGAAACACTGATGAAACGTCAATCGAACTATTATAATCTTGTGAAAAGTCAAGCATTCGAAGAACCACTTGAGACTGATGATTATCAACCGCAGTTATCAGAATTGACACCAGTTCTTGGTGGGATGAAATTCTTTTTTGGAAATTTAGTACATACTTGTTTTTCTTTCTTATTCAGAAGACTCTAATAACTCAAACTGTGACGATGAAATGAGTGCTCTTCAAAATGGCGAAAAGAAAAACAAAAGTAGCTTCAAAAAGAAAACAGTATATAAATCTATTGATTCTTATTTACTTTGAATATTCTTCTTGATGCTATTATGATTAGGATTGGCCTTCATTGGCCATACTGAAATTGAATCGTCCAGAAATACTTCTAATCCTCATTGGTGCTTTTACATCTATCTTCAATGGTGGTCTTGAACCAGCATCTTCTATTTTACTCAGTGAAATAATTGGAGTAGGATAATTCATATGAAAGAAATCATTCATTAATCTTTTTCAACATTAGGTCTATCAAGAATGCGATATACAAGTGCAAACCAAAAAGATGCAACTCTACGTTATTTTATTCATAGTATTAGCTACTGTCATTTTCATTACCATGTTTACTCAGGTATTCGGTAGAACACATTGATTGAGAAATAGATAATCAATAAATTTTGTTTTTTTTTACAGAATTTCATGTTTGCTTGCTCGGGTGAAGCGTTAACTAAACGTCTACGAGCCAAAGCGTTTCGCGCTATTCTACGACAAGAAATAGCATGGTTTGATCATCCAGATAATAATACTGGTGCTCTTTGCACACGTCTGTCAAATGAAGCAACGATAATTCAAGGAGTATGTATAAAAATAAATAAGAATGAGATAATTTATAAGCAGAGAACTGTTCCGATATAGGTCGCTGGTGCACGTATTGGGACAGTGTTGTCAAGTTTTGCTAATTTAGGCGTTGGAATGATTATTTCATTTATTTTCGGTTGGAAATTAAGTTTAGTTGCTCTTGCATTTATTCCTTTTATGGTAGCTGGTGGTTTCCTACACAGTTATCTTGTGGAAGGATACTCTAATCGAGATAGTAAAACATTTGAACGTGCTGGATCGGTCGGTAACTTTTTTATTATTCTTGTTGAAATACTTTTCTTTAAAATTTAATATTCAGTTGGCTTTTCAAGCATTCCAGAATATTCGTACTGTCAGACAATTAGTTTTGGAAACACAATTCATTAATGATTATTGTCATCTACTTGATATTCCATATAGGTTTAATATTATTGATGTAAACAATTACTTAATCATTTCTTTTCATAAATAGATCATCAATTAGACGAGTTTATATTTTTGGGTTGATCTATAGTTTTACTACATCAACCACTTTCTTTTCCATGGCAGCTGTATTTTCTTATGGTGGTATGCTTGTTGAACAAAATGTGATGTCATTTAAAAATGTTATGATGTCAGTTGAATGGATATTTCGTTTTGTTTGTTTGTTTTTTACTTTGTTTTTTTTTAATAGAGTTGTAAATAGTATGATATTTGGTGCACAAAGTTTTGGACATCATGCAGCAATGTGAGTGATCGTTTTGATGTTAGATGAATTCGAAAACGAAGTATATTGTTATCAGGGCGCCTGATTATGGAAAAGCTGTTTCAGCAGCACGACGAATGCTTGAATTATTCGCTCGAGAACCGAAAATTTCTAGTGATTCACGCGGATTGAAGCTGGTAATTGAAATAAAATTGCAGAATAATATCAAGAAACGTTTTTGAAAATTATATTTAGAAAAATTTTACAGGTAGTCTTCAATTGAAAGGAGTCAATTTTGCTTATGCTACACGACCTCGTGTACCAATATTGAATAACTTCAATCTTGATATCAAGAGTGGTATAAATTAATACATATTTTTCTAAAAAAAAATCTCACATTCTATTCTTCTAGGTCAACGAGTCGCTATTGTAGGTTAGTATACGAAATGAATTTTTTTTTGGTTTTTTTGTCAGTGAAGACGAAATATTTTTTTTCATACAGAGAAAGAAAAACCGACTAGTATAAACATTATTGTGTTCATAGATTTTTATTGCGTTTATCTCAATATAATTTCATATTCAATGAATTACGTTAACCAACGGTATTGTTTTTACGGTCTAATATTGTAGCACAGCTAGAAGGCATTTAGTGTTGCCTTAGAAAATAACTTCCGTGAATGAAAATTCATTTTTTGGTGGTGCTTTGAATTTATGTCGTTTTCTTTTGAAAAATCAAAGATTTTCTAACCTAGCTAGATCGATAGAAGATGTTTTGGAGACCTTTTTTCATTCTGAAAGTAATGAGCTAGATTGCTTCGAAAACTGAAAGATTAATTGTATTTATATTCTTTGATAGTGGCTATTAACTCGGCTATTTCGTTTTGTATGAAACACAAATAGAAACAATGTTCTTGAAGATTATAACCAGAAAAAAAAATCTATCCAGGTCTGTCCCACAAACGATTCAGCATGCTGCCTGTTCGATTTTGTTGTAAATCATGGTCAATATATCGAGAAAGTCGATGAATAGTAGAAGAGACTTCGTTATATTTTATGTTTAAAACAGTTCGCCGAGTTGAACTCACTCTATGAAAGGAATAGAACTTTGTCCCATTCAGTGTTCTGTGAACCTTTGGCTACCAACAGATTATTGAAATCCATCTGTCATATTCATATATAGATGTACGATAAATCAGATTTATTGCAAATTGAATATATTTTTTCTCATATCGAGAAATTATACTGTGCGTATATTTTCATCTTACATATTCTTTCTCTAAATTTTGTTTTTTGATGTTCTCTATGACATACATTTGTCGAAGTTGATTCTACATTAAGGTACGAGTGGTAATGGCAAAAGTACAATATTACATCTACTTGAACGTTTGTATGATATTCAAAGTGGATCAGTCGTATGAAAAGGATTTCTTATTGATTTGTCTTTGATATTCGACTTATTCTGTTTAGCTTATTGGTTCGAAAGATCTTCGTGATGTCAATTTGAATTGGTGGCGTTCTCAAATCGCTATTGTTACACAAGAACCAGCATTGTTCAATGTGTCAATTGCAGAAAATTTTGCTTATGGTGATTTGTCGCGATACGTGACAATGGATGAGATTATCGAAGCAGCTAAAAATGCCAATATTCATGATTTCATTCAACAGTTACCACAGGCACTTACTGAAGTTTTTTTTCGATTTCGATCAAAAGAAATCTTGACTGATTTTTTTTTGTGCAAAAATAGGGCTATGATACTTGTGTGGGTTCTAAAGGTGATCAATTATCAGGTGGTCAAAAGCAACGCATAGCTATCGGTCGAATTTTCATTCGAAATCCAAAATTAATCTTACTCGATGAAGCTACATCAGCCCTCGATACTGAAAATGAGAAAGCAAGAATGATTGTCGAATCTTATAATCATTTTATTGTATTCATATAGATTGTAAACGAAGCATTGACCCGAGCAATAAGTGGTCGTACATCGATCGTTGTAGCACATCGTCTATCGACTATACAGGGTGCAGATTTGATATGTGTTCTTCACAATGGACGTATTGTCGAAAGTGGCACTCATCATCAATTGCTTGTTAAGAAAGGCTATTATTACAAATTGTCACATTGTCTGAGAGAATGATAGATATATCGAGGCAAAAATTAAATGTTTTTTTCCTTGTTAATTTTAATTTTGTCATCGACATGATCAAATAAAAAGGCTGTTTGTAAAATACACTCTAACCCGCTTTAGGTTTTGTTCAACTCGAAGACATTATCAATCGACAGAACTTAAATTTCTCGACCTAGAAGACTTCATACTAAGCCCTTTTTCTTGGAAAGCTCTGAACAAAAAAGTCAAATATCATTTTGAGCAGTTCACTGCAAGCCACTCTAGATAGCTCTAACCTACTCCAGCCTACTTTGACCTATTCTCATTTACAATACAAAATTTTCTGTTGTCGGTTTATAAGCTTAGATAGACATATTCGCATCAAAGTATAGCTCTCACTGTCAAACTAAAAAACTGAAAAATATGAGCTTCTGTTGACATTACCATAATCATGAGAAAACAGAAATAAATTATAGTGAAGTTTTGATTCAAAGACATCTTGCATAGACTGTAAAGATTGAAATTTGAATATCCTCATCAGTACACAGCAACAGCAGCTCATATTTTGAACTTTTTAGTTTGATCCGAATATGTATAATCCTATTAGCTGACAACACAAAATTTTCTATCGTAAATGACAATGATTCAAAGCAAGCTGGAGTGGGTTCGAGCGTATTTTACAAATGCCCTCCTTTAATTAGATAATTAAACAACATTTTAATTACTGTTCGTAGAATTCATTCGATTCAACAGTAATAAACAATGAATAATAGTAGTATGTGAATTATATGTCAGTAGACTAAAATTATCGACCTTTGTCGGAACGTACCGTCATCGGCAGCAGCATTAAGGTATCATTCGTTAAGTATCTACTTTTATTTCAAAACAAACAATAGCTAGCATTTGAACAATAAGAACTACGTGTATCTAAACAAGCATTTACCATACACTCTAATTAGAATTTAGATCAATCCTCAATCAAATAAACTTAACTTATGAATTGATGAATCAAATCTAATCAATGATCAATGAGTTAAAATAATAATCAGCAGTTATTAGTCATCAACTGAAAGCCTACAAGCGGAACAACTAATAACAAAAAATGAGCTCTAATACAATGATATCGCTAATAGACCTTCACAAATAAACTATTTACGTGAAACTCCTATACTGTTCTTTTGTTATTTTTTTGCTTATTAGTATTAACTCCCTTATCATGCTTATCACTCGATTTATTTCTTTGATTTTTCATCAGTGAGAGATATTCGATCCAAGCGCACACATCATCTGAGATCAGTGTGTCTCATACAAACTAGTTGTAGATGCATTTAAATTCTATTACTCCGTATACCTAACCATAAAGTTTTTCTGTTTTACTTATTCATTTCTTCAATCGAGAAATAGTAATAACGAAAAAATAACGTATTATTTCTCTCTTTTTCCCTTTCATCATGATTAGTGGGTGAACTGAACATGAGAAAATACTAAAATAATCGTCTCTTCAGCAAAATATTTCAACTCACCTGAATGAACAACGTGGGAAATAGTATTTGGCATGATCGGTACGAAAAGACGTGGCACGAGATGGAGCTACTTTATGTTATAACATAACGACCATAGTCCAAAATAATGAAAAATAAACATGTTAAGTTGTTCAGTAATTATCTTGAAAATTTTTAACATTCTGAACTTATTTCAAATTGTGATGGTCTTCACACGGTTACATCGGCATGAGCTAAATGGGATCATTGTGCTTCAAAGTCGAATCCAGCAACAATTATACTAATAACTTTGTTACCAAAGAAACGCATTTTACTTGTTGTGCACTTAAGAGATGGCTTGTTCCTTTTTGTCTGCTGTCTTATTTGACGACGATATTTCTAAAAATAATGAAAGACAACGAAGTCTCTTTTTCTCTAACCAATTAAATAACAAAAATGAAATGATTTCGCTATTCACATCATTACTCTCAATCTTAAGGCATTTGGCGTAGTTTATATTATACATGCAAATGGACCTTGGCATAAATACTCAGCTAGATTTTATGCACTCGAATGTGTGAAAGCAGTTCGATCAATCTCGTTACCATGAATTGGATCATTGATGGAAGATATTCCAAGTGAATTTTCCATTCATTGTCATAAGTTTTCACAAAAATTGAAATAAGTTGATATTGAGTCATAGATGTGCAATATGCTTCACGACGGATTCTTAAGCAAGCAACAAGATCGAACTTATCATGCTATCATGTTTGGTCTCTTCATTCTTATACAAATTGCAGTATCTAGAATTGTACGAGTTTCGACTTTTCGATGGAAAACTCGTCATTTCATTAACAACAAGCCAAACAATTAAACTATGATGACGTCTTTCATAAGAGTCGCGAAACCTAATTTCGTCGCGATTTTGGGATTTTTTTAGCACTTGCGGTGAGAATTATTCTATTAATTTTTAACTTCCTCAATAGACCAAACAAATTTGTGTCGGATAATGTATGAATTATTCGGCTATGGTTGTTTCAAAATAATCAGTGAAGATGCGTGCGAATTATTCGAACTTCATATCGAAACACAGGTAGAGTAATGTGAGTCAATATGCTTACGTGCATATAGTCAACTAGTGTAGCATCACCCAATGTGGTAAATTATCCTCAACGATTATGTTTGATTTGGAAACAAGTTCTCTGCAACGAAATATTAACACAAAGCAATCCGTGTTAGCTTTTGTTATTTGCTACATAAATTGAGGAATATCAACGACACTAGTCTTATGTACATATAGTTCCATTGGAGAAGATATTATTTCTAATATACGGCAAGTTGTTACGAAAACACATTCGCAAAGAAAATGTCTCTTTTTTCTTGAACAAGGCCGGATGGACACGGTGACGATAAGAGCTAACTACATTTGATTATTGTAATCGATTCGCAAAAAAATCGTTTAGTTTTGTTTTCTTGCACTTATTGGTCATTATCATTGTTCTAGCAATGTGAGAAGTACATTCAAGTTTAGTCGAGCTCACGTCAGTTAGATATATGCACGCATAGGTATGAAACTACGATATTCTTAGTTTAGTCATAGGTAAAAATCAGTAGCATTTTTCTCAGGATTCGACATTATAGGATTGTATTGGACAGCAACACAGACTGTTTTATGTTCTAAAAACAAACATC